ATGGACATGGATGGACACAAAATATGCCTTGAATAAAAATTGTTTTAAGTAATATTTAATTAAAATTGCAAAGAAAAAGAAGCTTTAACGCATATTATCTCAGTTTAAATCTGTTGTGGTTCGTATGTTGACTGTACAGAATCAGAGACCCTTTTTACTGGAAACAAGGCATTCCATCTTAGTCCCCAGGGGTGACAACGTATCAGCATTTTGATTCTTAATCGAGGATAAATGTAGATATCTATGAGCCACAGCTTCCACCTACCCGCAGGTAGACTGTTCTTCTCACTGCTCTTTTGTCACCCTTGTTCTAAAAAAAATCTGTGGGGCAGCCTTTTTGTTCAGTAATGAACTTTTGTTAGGCTGTGTATAACGGTTAGATTAAACGCTGGAAAATAGACCCCATAAAGAAAAAGTATTAAGCCGACAATACATGTTGGCAAAGCCTCAGCCAATGAGAGCGTAGGTAAATTGATACAAGGCGAGTTCTTCAATCTACATGTTGGTCAAGTTTGAACGAGTGAATATACTGAATAGCCAACTAACTTGTGGATATGAATTGCCGAGTGCAGTTGAGTGCCCTTGATTTGTGCAGGAAAACCGAACTGTTCCGAAGTAAGACTAGACGTGGCGAGCGATACCGATAGCAAGGCACGCTAATTGAACCGTATACACGTTGGCGCTCGCCTGCACTCGGCCAGCTAGGTGAACGACGACGAGCAATAGCAAGGCTGGACAAATGGGCGTTCTATACTTTGGTACTCACCTTCGCTCGGCCAACATGTATAGCTGGCATTAGTAAATACTACTTTTAAAATTCTTCTCTTTTTATCGATCTTTTTATCAGGTCTATTGAACGCTGTAATCTCTTCGGTGTTTGCTAATAAAATTAATTAGATAACATAAAGTTGAGCGGTTTATTTTATCTTTAACGAAGCAGTTCTCTTTGAAACTAATTGAAAGAAACTAAAATTTGTTTTCATCTTTAAATTAATTTGATCAAGATGTTTATTTAAACATTATTGCAATCTATATTACAAAAAGAAAACAAAAGGAGAATTTAATACCTTTATGCATTATCTGACAGCCACCTTATGGAGTGGTTAAAATTTAACAAATTTTAGTTATTTTAAGTTCTGAAAAATATATAAACTTTCATTTTTTAATTATATCTTTTATCTTCCGTCCTCCATGGTGGCACTACTCCGGAGGCGTGGAGCAGAAGTGCGGTGGTCTTGTTCTTTAAGAAAGGCGACAACGCTCTCTTGAAGAACTACAGACCGATTTCCCTTCTGAGCCGCGTCTATGTGCTGTTTTCGAGAGTCATTACGAATCGTCTCGCACGCAGACTCGACGACTTCCAGCCTCCCGAACAAGCCGGTTTCCGAAAAGGCTTCAGTACCATAGACCACATACATACCCTGCGGCAGATTGTACAGAAGACCGAAGCGTACAATCTGCCACTTTGCCTGGCGTATGTGGACTATGAGAAAGCCCTTGATTCCGTCGAAATTTGGGCGGTGCTACAGTCCCTTCAGCGGTGCCAAGTTGACTGTCGGTATATCGAAGTGCTGAAGTGTTTGTACAGTAGGGCTACGATGGCTATCCGAGTACAGAATCAGAGCTCGAAACCTATCCAACTGCAGATAGGTGTAAGACAGGGTGATGTTATATCCCCGAAACTCTTCACCGCTGCATTGGAAGACGTTTTCAAGCTACTGGACTGGAAAGGATACGGTATTAACATCAATGGCGAGTACATCACTCAACTTCGATTTGCCAATAGTCCTTATGGCAAAATTGCTGGAGGACCTTAGCACTATGCTCAATGACCTCAGTGGTGTCTCCCAACGGATAGGTCTTAAGATGAACATGGACAAAACAAAGATCATGTTTAATGTCCATGTCTCACCTATGCCGGTAGTTGTTGGGAGCACTATGCTCGAAGTTGTTGACGAGTACGTTTACCTGGGACAAATAGTCCGACTAGGTAAGTCCAACTTCGACCGAGAGGTCAATCGACGGATTCAACTCCGCTGGGCAGCGTTCGGGAAATTACGACACATCTTCTCGTCAGGTGTACCTCAATCTCTGAAAACTAAAGTGTACAACCAGTGCGTGTTGCCAGTGATGACTTACGGATCAGAGACGTGGTCCTTCACTGCTGGCCGTATGAGGACGCTCAAGGTCGCTCAGCGAGCTATGGAGAGGGCTATGCTCGGAGTTTCTCTGCGTGATAGACTCAGAAATGAGGATATCCGTAGTAAAACCGGAGTGACCGACATAGCCCAACGGATTAGTAAGCTGAAGTGGCAATGGGCCGGCCATATAGCTCGAAGAACCGATAACTGATGGAGGAGAAAGGTTCTCGAGTGGCAGCCTCGTACCGGTAGGCGTAGTGTAGGGCGACCCCCCACTTGATGGAGTGACGACCTGGTAAGACATGCAGGAAGTCGATGGATGCAGGTGGCTCAGGACCGTGCTTTGTGGCATTACTTGGGGGAGGCCTATGTTCAGCAGTGGACTTGTGAAGGGCGGTAATGATGATTATGATGATGATACAAATGGAAATATCGAGAAATCTTAATAATTGCTACACGGGCTCTTTTATTACGACGGCAATGGTTTTTAAGAAAGGAAAAGTCTGTGGTGAATTAAAACATTTGTGAGCAAATATTATGTATAATTTTTTATAGAATAAAAGTGATAAACGAGTACAAAGTCCACTTGATGGTAAATGGACGCTGTGGTCCATAGACTTCTACATCTATCCTCGGTTAAGAATTAAAATGCAGATGCGTTATCACCCCTGAGAACTAAGATGGAATGCCTCGTATCCAATAAAAAGTGTCTCCGGTTCTCTATACTCACCATACGAAACACAGCAGCATTACGCTGCTATTTTACGCGTACGTTACTGCGTAAAATAGCATCATAATGCTACTATGCTGCTATTTTACGCAGAGATCCTGTGGAGCATGGTCCTTCCCCGGTCAAACTGACTTCGTACTACGGCTATGAAATAGCTACAGCGGGGTTATACTATGATATATCATCATATGATATATACACATTGAATCATAGTTAGATATACGTCTAACTATGATTTTAATTTTCAACGATTCATATTCTCCTGGTTGATTTCGAATACTTCGGTTCAATGTAATGCTTTTAAGAAATAAAACTTGATCATTACAATCTATCAAAAAATATAAGCCTCTCCCATAGATTAACACATATATTTGCTATAGTTGCACGCTTAGCAAGCGAGTTGGTATTTTTTTTATTTATTGCAACTGTTATTATGAAGATGTTGCTCTGAACCAGCAGACGGGTGTCTTCTGGTTCAGTTTCCCTTTCTAGTCTCTAACGACACCCACTGGATGAATTGGATAGTGGGTATTCTTTTAACGCCACTAAATGGTGAGAGAAGCAAAACTAGATATTGATTTTTTATTCAATAAAGTTTTTATTTAGTTAAAGTAGTATATGCTATAATTTGTAATAAGGGTGACAAGCGGGCACACAGTCCACCTAATGGTAAGTGGTTGCTGTGGCCCATAGACATCAACATGTATCCTCGATTACCGATGTCACCCGTGAGGACTAAAATGAAATGCCTCGTGCCAGTAAAAAAAGGTCTCCGGTTCTCTACACTCAGAATCATTACCAATCAAATCAAATCATTAATCATTACCAGACGAAACGCAGCAGCTTAACGCTGCTGCGTTTCGTCTGGTAATCGATATTTTAGGAATATATTATGTGGAAGTTATTTAAATGCTTTCAGTACTATGAAGTTGGCTTTTACGTTTTGTTTAAATTTTTTTTAAGTTTTGAATGTAGTAAAAATTTTAAAAACATCATAATTTATATATAGAAGACGGATGGGTGCCACCATCTGCTTGGGATCCTATAATTAAAAAAATTAAATCCAAACCCAAGCATACCACTGCAATGCTGAGCTCGTCGAGCTTGTCAAGATACTGTAAGCTCGTTCTTCATAAATCGGAGCAAAACCTAATATTAAACAAACTGAAAGTAGCCGGGCTTACTATGGCATTGGAACGTCAAACACCTAGGTCCCCCCGTGGCTCTGAGTGCTGCAAAGCACCCGAAACGTTAAAACGTTCGGGAGTTAAGAATAAGTAAATTAAACGTGATAAAATCAGCATAAATAGTTTTATTCAGAGTCTAGTGTTCGTGTAATTATAAGAAATCATTAAATTTATCTACTATTTTTTCTCCCTTAGGGGTGGAATTTTCTCTTAAATTTTGTATTTGACCACACATAAAGTTCTGATGCTTAAGTTATTTAATAAAAGTAAATAAATAAATCGGTTCAAAATTCACGAACTTAATATAAACACAAAAGACATACCGTCGAACTGCGAACCTCCTTCTTTTTTGAAGTCGCTAAAAATGCTTACTTCGTTAATTAAATAATGGCAAAATATTTTAGCTGGATACAGTTAAAAGTTAGAATAAAAAAGGGTAGCCGTGGTAGATATAATTCATCATTGTATTTCATCCCGTTGGTGACATAAGACGCGGCAATGAGGAATTCTCAGAAGATCTTATGGCTTCCAACAGATTATACTAAACTAATTGTCTTATCACCATCATGAAATTGCCTTTTTAAAGTAAAAAATATTGACAATGTCTGTTCATTACTCGAAAAATTTCTTCACAAGAGTATGTTATTAGCTATTACATATTGATTTTTTTTGAAAGATTTGCCAATAATCATCACGATGGTAAGCTAGTTGATGAGCGCAGAATCGAAACCCTCTCATTATAATACTGCTTCCTGTCCCCGAGTCTATGAAATATGATTTCAGCGTTTTCGAATAGTATTTTAATTATTAAATTTGTTACCAGAGCCTCGTTCTTTAATCAGCAGGATAGTCTGCCCGGATACAAAAAGCTTATAATTTGGTGGAAAATTTGAATATACAACCCTTTACAACCCTTTTTGCTGTCTAGCAACAACTTACACATCAAGCTACAATATATAATTTCATATTTCAAATTTAAAAACGTGAAAGATTTTCTATAGTTTCGTTAGTTTATGATATAAGAAATTCAAAAGTGTCAAAGTAAGGGAAAAAAGTGCTAGAAAGCTGTTGTATCTTTTGTTATTTATCGATAAAAAACTATATTGCCTATGCTTTTTAATTCTATGTGTCTGGCAAGCGTTGCAATAAATTATAATTATGATAAATATTAGTGGCCTTCCCTTTTATTTAATAATTAGATGTCCAAGACATTATCAATATTTTTTTTTCAAAGCATTTTTATCATAAAATTTGTTAGCAAGCATTTCAGCTTATATGAAATGATAAAATATATCCTTAAGAAAGTAAAAGTACCTGCGTGTATTAAGAAGTCCGCTTCATTACTGATTGCGTGATACCAAAGACTTCCAGAAAAAATATATCTGCCTGTTGCTTCAAGTGGGCAATCTAAAGTCATTTTCATTGTAGATTCTCTAAAGTTACGCCTGTTTGGAAAATTAACTTATATTTATTATGTGCGATTATTATCAATAGACCACATTTATATTATTTTTAGAAAATGTTGTTTATAATAAACCTAGTCTGTTCTAATTATTTTTTATAAAATAATGGAAATACACTTACTTCATCTCAGCAACCTTGCATTTTCTGGCACCAGTTACCTTCATATTTTGCAAAAACAATTTGAAGAATCCTTGGTCAATTGTTATATTTTCAAAATGCATAGGTTCCAATGCAGGTATTTCAAGTTCGGCAATGCCATCGGCGATGTAGGGAATCGCAATTTGAGTGTTAGCAGCTAATAGACATTCGTGGTCACCAGCTTTGCATGATTTAATAAAAGACACTTAAAAAGAAAACTATATTGTAGCGTTTTAAATAAAATTTAATTTCTTATTTATAAATTTAATAATAGTCTATAAAATGATATATAATAACAATGAGTAGGGCAGACAATTGTCTTATATATTTGGAGGGAAAGTTCCGCTATGGCAATTGTAATCATAGTATTTAATTGACCACAAAATTGTGGTACACAAAATATTATGCATCTCTCATTCATCAAGTAACATTCCTTTTGCGTGTTGATGAATAGCTTGTAGACATCCATTCAGTTGTCGACCCGCCTACCAAACGTGGTAACTATGGCAAATATTCCCCCCCCTACGAGGCAATATATGCGGAAGACTATGTTCAATATTGAACTTTTAGTACGCTGTAATGAATGAATAAATGAATGAATGTAAACATTTGAAAGAGTTTTATGTAACATACGTTACTTGTACAACATTCACACAATAATATTTCTTATCATCATCATCAATACATCTGTGCCCTACAAGCACATTTGTGTGCTGGGTTGGTGGAGAATAAAACACTGACACTTTTTTCTTTCTTCTATATTTGATGTTTTTCTTGAGAGAGCTGGCCGCCGACTGTGTCGAACGACGAAAATCGCCCCTCTTTTATACTACCTCGGCCGGGTCGAGTAGTACGGCGTGCGTACCGTGTGACGGCGTCGACCAATCAGCGCGAGGCGCTACAGAGCTGAGTTACATTGTTTACCTTAAGCTAGTTATATTATTATACAAAGTGAATTACTAATTCTAATACATGAATATAAGCTTTACACTATTAGTTTTCTTAATATAAAATGCTTATATCTTCTCTTATGTGTAACTTTAAACTATAATCACAACATAAACGCTTATATCCTATTTTATGTGTAACTTTAAACTATAGTCTTTATTAACACAATATAAACGCTTATATCCTATTTAAGTACAAACTCTAAACTACTATAATATAAAAATGTTCGTCTTATTTAGGTATAAGTCTATTTATTTTCACTTGTCCCGCACATCACTCCCGCCGTGCGACCGCGTCGCATCAGCTTCCGGTGCGGGCTCGACGTCCGTAGATAGAGGCAGGATCACCAGCTTCCTTATTGGCCGGCGTAGGACTCCTCCCTTTGTCAGCACGTCCACTGTCCGCACGATGTTGTCAGGACCCGGATATGTAGCGATGACTCTTCCTCGTATCCACACGTTGCGGGGTAGGTTCGGATCGACGATCTGTACGAGGTCGTCGACGCGTACTGCTTGGCCTCGTCCGTGGGGCTCCCGCCGGTGTTGGAGCTCAGGGAGGTACTCCTTCACCCAGCGTAGCCAGAAGATGTCGGCTAGTCTCTGCGCAGCTCGCCAACTTGACCGTAAGAGGGTGTCTCGTTCGGTGAAAGTGCCTGGCTGTGGTACTCGTCCCGGTCCTCCCAACAAGAAGTGGTTAGGAGTAAGAGCTTCAGGATCCTCTGGACTGACTGAGACGTGAGTCAGCGGGCGGCTGTTGACTGTGTATTCTACTTCTACTAGTAGTGTTGTGAGGACTTCCTCTGTCGGATGACGTTCGTGCAACGTCGCGATGAGAGCGGTCTTGACAGAGCGAACCATTCGCTCCCAGGCTCCGCCCATAAATGGAGCTCCAGGCGGGATGTAGCGCCAGGAGATAGTCCTCTTCGCTGCTTCTTCTGAGGTCGCTGCGTCGACCGCCCGTCGTAGTTCCTTATCGGCTGCCTTCAGGTTGGTGCCGTTGTCTGACCATATTTCTGTCGGGCAGCCTCGCCGCGCGATCATTCGCCTTATGGCCATTACCGCGGAGTCAGCGCTGAGTGAGCCGGCGACTTCTAGATGTATGGCTCGCGTAGTGAGACATGTAAAAATGGCCACATATCTCTTTTGTCGAGTTCGTCCGACAGTCACCGAAAGGGGTCCGAAATAGTCCACCCCGGTGTAGGTGAAGGGGCGCTTGTGGTGAGCTAAGCGACATGTTGGCAGGTCTCCGGTTCTCGGATGCGGCGGTACTTGCGTCTTCATTCTGCAGAATAGGCATCTTCGTATTATTGCGCGTACGGTAGGACGCAGTCTCAGTACCCAATACTGCTGCCGACACTCGTTGACTGTGGCCTCTACACCGGCATGATGGAGTTGCCGATGTATAGCCTGTACCCAGAGTTTGACCGTGTGATGATCACCGTCGATTATCATCGGGTTCTTGAACTTTTCTTCCATGTCGCAGACCGCTCGAATACGACTTCTAAGTCGTAGTGTGCCGTTTATGGACTCTACGCTGAGCTGGTGAAGGCGGCTCTCTTTGTTGATCGGCTTCCCGCTGTTTAGACTGTCTATTTCTTCCGTAAAGGATTCTTCTTGAGAGGATCGCATCAGGAGTTCTTCAGCTGTTTTAAGAAGCTCGGCTGAGACCATTAGTGGCTTTATGTCTTCTGGTGACCGCTTTTTTTGTCGTCGTGCGCGCCTGACATTTTACGGTAGCTTTGTTCTTTTTCCAAGTGGGATCAGCCTCTTTATTCTTCTTTGTTCGTTTGTAGTTGACTCTCTGTTTGGTGTTTCTGCAGAGTTGAATGAACTGTAGAATACGTGCGGTTGAGTATCGGAGTCGGTCCCAGTTGGAGAACTTCGCTGGATCAGGTAGACCTTCTGCAAGCTTCAGTCTTCCTTTGTTGCTCACGTGATGTGTTCTTTCTTCGTCGGAAGGTTCTTCCGCTATTGCTCTTGTGGTTTCCGTCGGCCAGAAGTCTTCTGTTAGATATAAGAAGTCAGGTCCTTTGAACCATCGATGGTCTTTATTAAATGCTGCTGGCACGTCTCGTGTGGCATCGTCCGCCACGTTCAGCTTTGTTGGCACCCAGCGCCAGTCGTTAACTTTGGAACTTTCTTCTATTGCTGCTAGACGATGAGCCACGTAGGGCTTATATGAACGTGACCCTGTCCTTATCCAGGTTAGTACTGTCTTGCTGTCCGTCCAGAATACTTTGCGGTCAGGTTTCCTCTCGTGTTCTTCGACTACTGTTTCTGCGAGCCTGGTGCCCATGACTGCAGCCTGTAGTTCCAATCTTGGGATGGACGTCAATTTTAACGGTGCCACCTTTGCTTTCGCCATAATGAGGGATAGGTGGGCCTCGCCTACTGTTGTTACAGTTCTCCAAAAGAGAACCACAGAGTAGGCTGACTCGCTGGCATCGCTGAAGACGTGAAGTTCTAGGGAGGCCGCGTCGCTGTAGTGAAGATATTGCCGCGGGATTGCTACTTCGCGGAGGCCTTTCAGATGCTCCATCCACATTTCCCACTGCTCCGCCAGGTCCTCGTCGATCTTGTCGTCCCATGCCGTTCCTCTACGCCAGACTTCCTGGAGTAGTTGTTTTGCCCTGATGGTGATAGGTGAGGCGAGCCCGAGCGGGTCGAAGAGCGACATCACTATTCTCAGTGCTTCCCTTTTCGTCGGCTGCTTCCCTTCTAGGAGTGTTGAGGATATTCTGGCTAAGTTAAGGTTGAAGGTGAGTTCGTCTGAGTTGATCTTCCAGACAACACCCAGAACTCGTTCCATTTTTTCTTCTGTTTTGTAGAGTTCCATGTCTTCTGTCTGATTGTTTTCTCCGAGTGTTTCTAGGAGTGACGCTGAGTTCGATTTCCACTGTTTCAACTCGAAGCTGGCTTTCATGTGCACGGCTCGTACACTCTTCGTGATGCGTTTGGCATCTTCGAGGGTTCTGAAGCTGTCCAGGTAGTCGTCGACGTAGTGCTTCTTTATGATGGCAGCTGCGGCTTCTGGGTGAGTTTCCCCGTGCTGTTTGGCGTTCAGGTTCTTGACGTATATTGCTGTCGAAGGCGAACTCGATGCTCCGAAGATTAACGATGTCATTCTGTATTCTTCCGGAGGTTGGTTGTCTCGTCGATCCCCACGCCACAGGTAACGCAGTGCGTCTCTGTCTTGTTCTCGCAACTTGACTTGCATGAACATCTCCTTGATGTCCGCCGTAACCGCGATCATGTGTTGTCGGAAGCGCATGACGACACCCGGTAGCGATTGTAGTAGGTCAGGCCCTTTGAGTAGCATGTCATTAAGTGCCACCCCTTTGGTCTTGGCTGCGGCATCGTGTACCACCCGCAATTTCTCCGGTTTCATTGGGTTGACTACTGCAAAGTGAGGTAGGTACCAAGTCTTGTCAGCTGTCTTCTGTTTTGGGGCAGGTTCGGCGTAGCCCTTTGCGACGAGAGCGTCCATTTGTTCCACGTATTTCTTCTTTAAAGTAGGATCACGATCTATCTTCTTCTCTATATTGAAGAGCCTCTTCAGCGAGTTTTCATAGTTGTCTGGTAACTTGACATCGTCTTTGCGCCAGAGAAGACCGGTCTGGAATCTTCCTTCTTCTATCTTTGTTGTGGTCTTTTCCAAGATACGAAGTGCTTGTTCTTCTGGATCAGTTTTCGGTCTCTTGGGTTTTATGCAGAGTGCGTCCATCTCGAAGTATCGCTTCACAAGGTCCTCTAGATTCTCGTCTGGATCCTCTGCGATGTGTGACACGAAATCGATGTTCCGTCCGAAGCTTCGTGTCTGACTTCCGTGGAGTACCCAACCTAGTGGCGTGAGAGATGCCACTGGGTGGTTCTTGTCTCCTCTTCTTACTTCTGATGTCAGCAGAAGATGCCAGTTATCTTGACCGATCAGTACTCGTGGCTTTGCGTTTGTATATGTGAGATGTCCTTGGATATCAGAGAGGTGTTGACACTCCTCCACTAGTTCCTGTGGGACCCGTTGAGATGAGACTTGCAGGTTCTTCACTGTGCGCGCTTGTATTTGTTCTTCATGATCGTTGAGCCCCTTTAGTTTGATGGTGACTCTTCTTGATGCTGACTCCGATACTTTCTTGTCGTTGATGGTTTCTATCTTCAGTGGGTCTATGGGGCCCGTTGCTCCGACGCTTGTTGCTATGCTATCGTCGACGAGCGTGACTGTTGAGCCGTCGTCCATCAACGCGAAGGTGTTGACAGCTCCTTTTGGTCCTTTAACCTGGATCGGTAGGATTTTTAAATACGATTGCTTCTTGACGGTCCACGTTGAGTTGATGACCTCTGATTGATCTGATGCCCCTTGATTTTCTTTTGCTTCTGTGTCTACCGACTTCTTTTCGTAGTGCAGCATCTTGTGGTGGGAGTACTTGCAACTGTTGACATTACATGACTTGGGTCGGCAGTGGTGTGTCTTGTTCCTATAGCGAAGACACCTGAAGCAGAGGCGCTTGGACTTGGCCATGTCCCATCTTGCATTTGCATCTAACTTCTTGAATTGTTCACATTCTGTGGCGTTGGTGTGCCCCGTATCTTCACATACAACGCACCTTGGTATGTATGTCTTCTCAGTCACGTTGTTGATCCTTTGAGTCTTCCTTTGTAGTGCGGCTGTAGTAGGCGGTGTCATCTGTTCGGGCAGCGCGTAGGGTCCACACAATTCTGCTTCCCTTTTGAAAAACTTCTCTATCTTGACGAGACAAGGGTCTTCACGTGGCTGCATGGCTGAGAAGTCGTAATATCTATAACGCAGAGTTGGCGTCAGTTTGTCTACTATTGTCTTCGCGAGTTCAGGATTGTACATGTAGTTAAAACAACCCAAAGTCTTCAGAGTCGCCACTACGTTGGAGACCTTGGTGGCGAATATGCATATATCTCTTGGTGACTCAGTAAGGCGCGGCAGACCTCTAAGCGTCTCCATCTCCAGCATGGCTATTGACTCTGGTCTTCCAAATCTTGACTCCAAAGTCTTCATTACTTCAGCCGGGTGTGCGTTGGTCATAAGTAGGCCTTCAACTGCTTCCTTGGCCTTCCCTTTCAAGTTTCTTCTGAGTCGATTCGTATTTTCAACTGCGCTAAATGTTGCTTCTGTCTCGTAGTAGGCGGCGCGAAAGGGTAGCCATTCCTGATGAGACCCACTGAAGAATGGTAACTCGACGAACTTAGGTCGTTGGGCGGCGTTGACAGCCCGAGTGATGGCTTCAGCTAGGAGGGCTACGTCAGTTTGACCTCCCGCCGGTGACTGATGTGTTTCTTCATGCTTTTTCTGACTTGGTTCTTCTGCGTGGGCGGTTGTTGGTTCTTCTATGGCATGGTGAGGTTCGTTGGTGATTGCTAACACCGGGCGATTCACTTGATTTTCCAACCAGTCGTCCACTCTTGCATTGACTTCTGAGTAGAGGGAGGCGTCATCTTCTTCTTCCTCCTCCTCTTCTGAGTCTTCCCTTTCCAAGGCAGCAAGACGTGCTGCGGCTAATTCCACTTGAAGGCGTAGCAAATCTTCTTTCGCCTTTGCAAGCTTGAGCTGCTTCGTTCTACTGTGTGTAGATCCCCCCCCCTCCTCCCTTCTTGCTGGGCAGGCGGGGTTCCTGTAATGCGGTTTGCTTCGATGGACCGGCGGTGCTTTTTATGGCTCGCTTCACTGTATCAGTTTCTGTTTCTCGGCGAGTTGCTCTGGTGACAGTAGCGGGCGGCTTCATCAGCTGTTTGGCCTTCGCACCCGCAGTTAGCGTTGTCGCCGCGGATGGAGTTACGGAAGGAGCGACGGTGCTGGCGGGGTGCGCGGCGGGGGGTGGCGGTTGCGGCTGAGGTGGCGGCGGACGAAGTGGTTGCTGCGGTGGCGGAAGTCACGGTGGATGGATCAGTTGCCGCGGAGGTGTCTGTATACTCCGAAGTCTCCGTGGCGGTCGTCCCTGTAGCTGTCGATTCCGTACTGGCTTCCGCACTGTTGGTACCGGTCGCCGAGGTGGTAGCCTTGGACGACGGCGGCTTGCTGCCCCTTCCCTCGGAACGCGTAACGGCCATACTGTTAGCTGACTTTTTCATCGAATAACGATTTCCGAGAAGTCTTCTTAACTCGATGTAGCACTATTTGAAGTCTTCAGGTAATTATTTTCCACAATATTCGGCTGGCGAAGGACCATTAAATGTGCCCTACAAGCACATTTGTGTGCTGGGTTGGTGGAGAATAAAACACTGACACTTTTTTCTTTCTTCTATATTTGATGTTTTTCTTGAGAGAGCTGGCCGCCGACTGTGTCGAACGACGAAAATCGCCCCTCTTTTATACTACCTCGGCCGGGTCGAGTAGTACGGCGTGCGTACCGTGTGACGGCGTCGACCAATCAGCGCGAGGCGCTACAGAGCTGAGTTACATTGTTTACCTTAAGCTAGTTATATTATTATACAAAGTGAATTACTAATTCTAATACATGAATATAAGCTTTACACTATTAGTTTTCTTAATATAAAATGCTTATATCTTCTCTTATGTGTAACTTTAAACTATAATCACAACATAAACGCTTATATCCTATTTTATGTGTAACTTTAAACTATAGTCTTTATTAACACAATATAAACGCTTATATCCTATTTAAGTACAAACTCTAAACTACTATAATATAAAAATGTTCGTCTTATTTAGGTATAAGTCTATTTATTTTCACTTGTCCCGCACAACATCTTTTTAAAATTCTAATCTTGAACAAAGGCTTTCCCCGGAGCAATGCCACCAACCACGGCGCTAGGCTACCTGCATCCATCGACTTGACTAATGACAATTGTTATAACTTAAAGTTAAAACATTATGCATGTTGTTTATTGAGTGTATTCGGGAAGTATTATAAATAGTGTTCAAAGAATATTGCGAAAAATATCATTATTATATTTATAAATTATTAATAATAAATAAAACTGAAATTATTTTAATTATAAAATTTACATAATTACACATTTTAGCAATATATGTACAAACCTTCTGATGTATGCAATTCATGTACCAAACAACTAGTAACGAATAGGAACAAAAAGATTTTCTTAATCATTTTGACAAGTTACAGAATCTTTCAACGTGTTGGCAGATGACTTAACGATATTTAAAAAGGATTCAGAATGATGCAAATCATATAGATATATGATTGCAATATATTTTTAAATAAGCAAATTGAAACCAGGCGGTCAGTATAATCTTATCAATAAGAAAAGTTGACATTTGAGAGAGATAAAAATGCAATTAAGTGACTATTTTATTTATAACTTTATCTATAATAATAAATATCTGACGAATATTTAATTATTTTATTGCACATTGCTTTTTAAATTATGGTAAGGGGCTTAGATTAAGTTTATTGGAAAGAGAACTAATGTGGGCAAAAAGGAAAATAACTTTTATAATTTGAAAGCCAGTAAATAAAAGGAAGTATATTTAATGTATTCGTGTATTAATATGTAATAAGTTATAAATATCATACAATTGATTTTTCAAGGTTACCTTACAACTTTCAAATATCACTTTACTTTTCTTTCCGATCAGACTATACAGGAGTTTTCGTCTTATTCTATGACTAGTTTCTTATATGCGGCTGCATTAGTGTGGGTGTATTTTAGCAACATCATTTTTGCTCCGTGCCAAAATTTGAAAATTGGATCACTTTTGGAGTCATTTCGGTATCTGTGACCTCGTGCGTGTCTGTCACAGGTTTTTTTTTAATTTTCAGATACTGACAAACGGCCCAAGTCGTGTTCCGGTGCGATGTTATGTTAAACTCATTTCTTTAGGAGAGTCAGTCTCATCAGTTCCGTTGCGCATAAGATCCGGTTGTAGCGTGGCCGTTTATTGATGTCGAGTGTCTCGTTATAAAGGCTAGCGGGATCCCAAGCACGTTTTCACCACTAGTTAAACGTAGGTAGTTGGGGGCCCAATTAATGTGACAGCCGCTCATTAAATGCTATCCCTATTTTACGAAACATGGAGGGCTCCATGTTAGCAACAGGAAGAGAATGTCTGATGTTGATTTTAGGGGGGTTTGGACGTCACTGCGGCCTCCATGCTAGGTACCATCGATGCTGTAACTATTTGCGTCCCTAGGTTGTATGTGTGACGCCTCGTCTAACTGCCATTCTATCAATCTGTTTACTTCACTACGCAATTCATTTTAGGAAGAGAAGTGTAAGTATGTTCAGCGGCTGCATTTCAAACTCCTGCAATCAAAGTATACTTTATAAACAGCCGAGGTCTGCACTGTAATCTCAATGTAGTCCACTACCACCTTAAAACTGACAAGCTCCACTAACTCTTCTTCACTGAGACACAGATCAGATGTCCTCTAGATGCGGTGTACCTTGACTACCCTGGGCACATATTGGAGCATAATTTCCATCAGCGCACCAGAATCTGTGTATATGTCTGCAATGACATCTGCTGTAAGTATTTTCGCCACCTTGAAGACCTCACTTTCGCCACGATTTAGGTACTAATAGACATAGGAATGGATTAAATTATTTGTTCTTTTGTCTAACTATTGCACAGCGATAACCAAGAGAAAAAGAGGCTGTTTGAGCACCTCAGTGGAGCCTCTAATACGGCTGTAAATCGGTACCCTACTGCACAGCTGGTTTTTCTGGGGAAGACCCCAACAACTATTTTCAGAAGACCGACAACGATTGAAAAGAGGCGTGGAATTTAACGTTGTCGCTGAGGCACTCCTAGGTAGTAAAACGAGCTACTACGGTACCCGATGTGAATGGGCACACAGTCAACGGCTGCGACCTTCTGCTGATGGCTGATACGGACAGGTATGATGTACAAGCTTCTTCCTCCTTGGGAAAATCTGACCACCGTCTGGTGAAATCTGTGTCATTATATTCTACACATAACTAGGATTTGCAAGGTGTGCCATGAATGTGGCGATACATGTCAGCAGATATGGATGAGATGCGATATTTTTTTGCATCCTTGCCTGGCAGAGGTTTGATTTTTGTCTAAAGATCCTTCGAACTGCGCGGATGCCAATACCGATGTAATATGTCAAGCGATGGAGTGTTACTGGTAAAATCACAAGGCTCGTTGGCGCAAGCATCTAAGGAGAAAGCGGACTTATTTGTTCCTGTTTTTGCACGAAATTTGCTGTGGTATCTCTATGTCAGAGGTCCGTATCATTAACAAGGAGTTTTTTAAAATATTGCGAAGTCTAGAAGTGAATAAAGCTAGTTGACCTGATGGTATACCAACTATAGTTCTATAGATCTGTGCGCCTGAGTTTTCTCCTGTGTTGACGCGCTTATCTCGTCTCTTGTTCATGCCTATAATAGTGCCCAAATCTTGGAAGCTAGCCAAGTCAAGCCGTGCAGCCTGTACCTAAAATGGACAGCCGTACCACCCTTGACAACTAACGGCCAGTTGCGATCACCTCAATACACTTACGGATTATGAAGTGTATACCGAACGCTCATCTCGTGAAATACTTAAAGCAAAATGATAAATTACGGTTTTGTTGAAATCGATCAACTGGGGACCTTCAAGCGTATTCGTTTTATTATTTTTTTACTAGGTGGCTGCGGAGTCCGTCAGGTCTGCTACCACAAAGCTGTGCCGGCACTGCTCTGTATTTAGATCTGAATGACATAGAGAACCAGTATAATTGCAGACTCGAATATTATCATTCTATCTTATGCCTCAGAGGTAAAGATACATCCTTTTAAACAGTTAGGTACCGTGGGTAAATCTTTGTTTCAGAGAGCACGAGGGATCTGTGACAGTAAACACCTGGCCGCCGAGCTCCAACACGTCAAGCAAGTTTTGCATGACAAAAAGCTTCGGGTTCCGCACCTATGTCACAGTAAAAGAGTGAAGCCGCCCGTCGCTGTACCTGCTGTACTGCCATATATCAGAGGAGCCACTGACAATGTTGGCTACACCTTGAAGCGCGCTTCCATTAAAACATACTTCAAGCACTTACTGTTTTTCTTGATGTCTCGTAGGCTTTTGACAGTATTTGGCACGTAAATCTTTAAGGCAAGCTTCCAGCGTACGACTTACCTCCTGTTCTGATTGACTGGATGAAGGAATTTCTAAGTAAATGATCTCTTCTCGTCTTCGTCGATGGGTGCTCGTTCAATTCTATCGCAACAAACGCCAGAGTTCTTCAGGGTCCATTCTCTCTTCAGCACTCTTTTAGCTGCATATTAATTATCTGTTTGTTTTCGTTATATGATACCAGCCAAGGCTCAGGCCAGTCGGGATCAAATCTAGTCAAAAAGAGAAGCTGTGGCTGAGCTTGCGAATCTCTCTCTGCAGGATTTCTCCGAATAGGACGAAACCAATTCCGTGGGATTCAACGTCTCCAGAACACAATCGTGTCGTTTTAGTACTAAAAGGAGCTCGTTCACCCTGGCTCCTACTATCCGAAATGTGTTTTTGAGTACGCTGATCGCCTTCAGATGTTAGCGGTTGATATTTTTCTGAACCTAAGCTATGGGTAGTCCGTATAGGTAGCCGCAAGGAACGTCTTATGAAACGCATAAACTTTGGCTCTCGCCTTCACTCGGCCAGCTAGGCGAGCGACGACGAGCAATAGCAAGGCTAGACAAATGGGCTTTCTATACATTAGTACTCGCCTTCGCTTCGTTGACTGCCTCGTTGGTCTAGTGGTTGTAATAGTGCGACTGCTGATCATGAGGTGCTTGGTTCGAATCCCGGGTTGGGCCAAAAAATTAATTATTGGGTTTTTCCGTCAAGAAATTCTCAGTTGTTGCCCGGAGCCAGGAAGTTGGCGGTGTCTCACCCCCCGTGCCTCGGAAAGCACGTAAAGCCGTTGGTCCTGCGCCTGATCTCTCTCCGGTCGTGTCGGTTTACCATCCCATCGGATTATGAGAGTGAGGGCAATAGGGAGTGCACCTGTGCTTGCGCATACACTTGGGCACTATAATCCTGTCCTGCGCCGATGCGATGGCTAGCCTCCGTTGAGGCAGGCCGCCGTGACCGGAATTCAGTCTGGAGGACATTATTATTATTATTATTATTACTCGCCTTCGTTCGGCCATCATGTATAGTTAGCATTACAAAACTAGTAGTTTATTAGTTTACTAATGCCAGCAGTAGATGCAATTAAAAGACTAGTACAAGTCTACTAGTCTTTTTATTGAATAGGTTTTGGCATATTTACTATGTGAATGCTATGATATATTCCTTATTTGCTAAGAAAATTAATTAAATAACATAAAGTTAAGAGGCTTAGTTTATATTTAATGAAGCAGTTCTCTTTGAAACTATTTTTAAGAAACTAAAATTTGTTTTCAGATTTAAATTAATTTGTTTATTTATTTAATTATAATTATTTAATCAAAGTAACTTACCTGTAAGTGTCCTTCGATCAATATTATATGATGTTGACGCCTCTTCTGTGTATGTTATCTATGTAGTCATGAATTGACGGAGCGGTTCACACGAGTTTTAATATTCCGGTGGAAAAATAATATTTTTACTGGTATCCCAACCTATATGAACTCCCACTGGTAACACTATACAGCTCATGTCAATGTGAATTTATATCCACTAGAATTATGAAAAACTAATTAAAATGCAAGCAAGCCCTTAGGGTGGGTAATAATATACAGCAGGGTAGGATTGTACACAGAGGAGGCGTTAACTCCATATGATTTTGATCGAAGGACACTTACAGTTAAGTTACTTTGATCAAATAGTTATGTTCGATGACGTCTCCTCTGTGTTTGTATACTATTTATTTATTTATTCTTTTTTGTACACCAAAATACAAAAACATCAAGTACAGTTAATACTAAATTAAAGTATTGTACAATAGGCGGTCTTATCACTCTGAAAGTCATTTCTTCCAGACAACCTTTACGTAGAGGAATGATGCAAACAAAAGTTAAAGTTAAAGTAGAGGGGGGGATACAAAATAATATTAAAAAATATAATAATACATACAAATAAAGATAAGTGAAAGTTATATATAAATTATCATATAGTAGATTAAATGAAAAGAGTACGAGAAAGGTAAAGTAATTTATCTAATAGCGTTCT